CTTTTTTTTTTGTACTTTTAGGATTTTGCCATCTTGTAAATACGCTTCTGCAGTCTTACCTTAAGGTGAATGGTGCCGTTTTCCTTTGGAATTCTCGAGATCCAAGAAAATCCCTGAAGATGGGGTGGCTTGTCTGTTTATTAGGCTCACCCTCGCAGTGAATTGGCAACGTCTTTTCTCACAGATGCGGAAGGACGCCAATGGAAGCACAGGGATCAATATTCAGAAGAACAGGCGCCGGAGCGAGTTGATCTTCTCCTTGCCTCTCCCATTTATAACCACCCCGTTACCAGATTCATCAGGCTCTTCCTGATGAGTATCCCAGTGCTTATGGTGGACATACAGGACACAAGTGGGGCCGCTGAGAGAGGGGCTATTGAGAACGTTCTGACCAACAGATTTTTCCCCCCTCATTTCTAAATGCCACCTCTGTGAATTGATGACAGATGTGAGGGCCCTGGCCCTTTCTCGAACCGAACGCCTCGATCAGCACCTCGGAGAGGGGCAGCCAGCGCTCTGCTCCTGTCCGTGCCGACGGGGACGATTTTAGTAAGCGGACCCCTGACGCCATCCGGAATCGATCCGCCGCATGGCCTGAGGAAGAATCGGCGTTTCCTATGGGCAGCTGTGCGAGGGAGACGGCAGAAGGGGATTGGAGCCGTCGTTTTAATCAATCTGCAGGCTGTCGATTTCCCGGATCGATCAGTGCACGTCCCCTGCGAAGTGTTCACATGTCTTGAACAGAATCTATCTATTTTCCAGTGTTGGATTGGTCCACGATCCCAATAAAAAGTGATTTTTAGTTTTGCAAACCTCTTTGTTTCGGGCTGGTTTCTGTAAAGGAGAGGCAGGGAGAGGGATTGTGGGTCTTGGGTGTCTGAGAGGGTGCCAGTGCGGAGGCCGGGTGGGGACACCGCTCCCTCTGCAGTCTGAAGTGACGGCGCTGCAGCGTGTGCGATGGGCCCTGGGCGGCACTCTCCTGCTCCTGGCGCGCCGCCTTCCCACAAGCCCCTCGCCCCCTCTCCCTTGTCCGCCCGCTGCTCCTCTTTCCGTTGCAGCGGGTCGGACGTGGGTTCGAATGCGTCTGCAGTCCCCCGTCCCCATGGGTCCAAGATCGCATGCAGGAGTCAAACGCTCCCTCCCTTTTCCTTCCCTCCCCCTCGGCGGGCCGGGGGGGGGGCGATCCGCAGCGCTCGCCCTGAGGGATAAGGTGAAGCCCTGTCGTGACACCACTTCGCCAGGCTTGGCGTGTGGCTCTGAGCCCTCCTCTGCACCCACGCTGGGTGCCTGGTGAAGCATGAGAGATGGGTGTTGATGTGAAGGACCCATCGGAAAGTGCCTTCTGCTCTCTGAGAAACTGGGAGCTGTGCTGAAGGGCAGCGTGGAGTGGGGTTGGGGTGGAGACTGCTTTTAAAAAGAAATTCATGACATTTCTGGTGTGGAGGATTTTTTTTCAGGTTTTAATAACTGTATACATGCTGCCTGCTCCGTACTGGAGAACACTGACCCCCCCCCCATAACCTCTCGTTAATTATAAAAGATAATCCTCTCGTTATATTACAAGATATAAACTGCTAACTGTAATGGATTGGAGAGGCGAGCCTGAAGAAGACTCCACAGCCGAAATGTTCTCCAGTGTTTCTTTACTGTACCTTCCTGCAGGGAGTGAGCCTTCCCTCACTCAACTGCAGTGGGTTCCTGGTTTCAGAAGTAACTTCCCCAACACCCCTCTGCTAATGGGATGGTGTGAGGAAGGAGGTGGTGCAGAGGGAGGTTGGGGGCAGAGAGTGGGCTTTGTTACAGCTGTATAGGTGACAGGCTTGAGAGAACTCAGGAATGGTAAGACCCAAAGCGTGCTAGCCTCCTTGCAGAGGGGTTATTATTAACGAAGCTGTGTTTGTGGACAGTAGCTGCCCATTAGAATCCAGCTGCGTTTTGCAAAGCGGGGAAGTCGTGGCATTCTTAACATGATTTCCCAGGTTGCAGGTTAAAAATGAATAGTCCCTTAGTGAACAGCCTACAGTATAGCTTGTGCCTAACTTTAGAAAAATTGAATTTATATTTGGGTCAGGTGAGCTTCTCCGGCTGATATTAATGTGCTCTTGTATTTTGGTAGAATGTATTTGCCCTTCCAGTTGATCATGCCTCGTGTGTGTCTTACAAAGCAGTATTTGTCCTCAAATACAGTGAGTTATTTTGAAGGTTAGTCATGTGTGCGAAGAATGCTCAGTCAAGTGTGCCAGAACAGACGAGCGAAAGTTGATAGATGTATATTCCCCGTGGCCGGTTCCGTGGCGGTACTGAAATTCTGCCCTCCAGCGTGTGTAGCTGTTCCGCTCCATGCGGCGCATCTGTAATGATCGGTTTCTGTGAACGCAGCTCCTCACAAGTCTTCTTCACAGGCTGAGCCCGATCTGGAGCTGTCGCGGCGTTCGGAATAGAAAACGCTTTTGAAAAAAGGTGGATGATGTGACACCTACAGCACAGCGCCCTCCAACTTCCAGCATAACCCAAGGGAGAGAGGAGAGTTACTGCCGTTCAAACCCTGCCAGAGCTGAAACACAACAGAAGGGAGCAGATGTTGTTGTTTTTTTTATGCGAGAGGGGAAATGAAGTAAAAACAAACAGCGTACGCTTTAAGTATGCCTTTATACCCCCTGCACGGTGGCAAGATGGAATACCATACAGCGTCTGAGCCTGTTATTTCATCTGGGTTCCATGTTTTTCTTGGGGGGGATAATAATGAAATCGCTCTCCTCCGCCTCCTCCTCTCTCTCCCCCACGTGGAAACGGCATTCCCGTCGCAGGCGAGATCGCTCAGGACGCCAGGACACCGCTGGCATTCCGGCGTTCCTAACGAGGCGCGCTGCCGGGGAGAGAGCTCCGCTATCCTGCAGTCCCCCGGTCTCTTCGTGCCTCGTCAGCCCGGGGGAAGAGGTGTCTAAACCAAAGGTGACTTTTTTTTTTTTGCCGCGTTGTGGAAGGATCGATCCACGGCGCTGTGACGCATCCTTGAGAGGTCTCCCGCAGGACCGGCCCGTCGCTTTCCTTGGCTCTCCGTTGCCTTTCCCTGTCCCTCCAGGTCATGGCTGTTACATTTCTCCCCTCCCCCCTCTGCCTTTTGCAAAATTCCATTTTATCTTGTGACTCTGTTGACCTCCCACTCTCCATAGGAGGACCAGGAGTTTACGTTGTTTTCTGAAATAACATGCAATCCTAAATCCTTTAAAAAAAACAAACATTTTATACTGAGCTGTGTCCCAGACCTAACATTATTTTCCCCTCGCGGATTTCTCTACATCAGGTCTTCAGTCCAGCGGGCCCACTATGAGTTTGTGTCTGTTGTGTGCTTAGTGTCCTCACATCTCTGTATAGTAACATTTACATCCATCAGGCGAGCTGAGGCAGATTCACCTTATTTTCTCGGTTGCTTTCATTGCAATCATGTAGCAAAGCAGCGAATCTGCGCCTGCAAACCCCCTCTTCAGCGGACCAGACGGCGAAGTGGAGAACTGTTTCACTGGTTGAACTGGGGGGGTCTGTAAAGAGACGCGGGACCACCCAGGTGATCTCGCTGTCCAGCCACTTCTCTTTCTCTTCCCCTCATTTCTCTTGCGTGGTGCTCCTGCTCCTGGTGGGGCTCTGCTCAGGTGGGCTCTGCCCGGCCCCACAGTGTTGGCCTGTTCAGGAAACGGAGGCGGAGGGGGGTTGCTCCTCTGCGGATGTTTCCGTTCTGTTGCACGGCTGCCTGAGCGCACGTCGGAGCCACAGGTGGAGGCTCTGCAGCTTCAGACAGGCGGCAGGAACAGAGCGTGTCCTCTAGGGGGCAGGAGCGCGCCGTCTCTTCCACTTTTCTGAACGATATTTACATTCAAGGAACGGATCCATAGACACCCATCAGATCTGTTTGTATACAGACACTTTGATCTGTTCTGCGGAGGAGGCGGGAGGAGGTGTTTTGACAACAGCGTGAGGAAAGTATTTCAGTAACAGCGTGAGTTGACCTCACGTATGAGAACTGGGACGTCTGACGACTCTACGGTTTGACACAGAACCCATAGATTCAGCAGTTTTGGTGTGTGTGTGTGGGTGGAGGAGGGCCACAGTTTTCAGCCTCTCCATCTCTCTTTTATGATGTTTTTGAAGCGGCGGAACAGATTTAGTCCCACACAGCGGAAAGAAACCGTAAGATCGCGATGCATCGCTGCTTCTTTGAAATTCAGTTTCATTTCTTCTCGCGCAAATCCGCCGAGGATTAATTTCCATTTCCCTCCGATTCCTCTTCGTTTCCAGCCGCACCTCCCAAACCATCATCGGGAGGAATCGACTCAACTGCCACCAAGCTGGGCGAATGGCCTTCCGGCTGTGTTCTTATCTTGTGTATTTTAATCCGTAGCTTTCATCGTTTAGGGGAATCTCAGATATCTCAAACAACAGATGTCAAGTTAAGATTTACTCGTTTTTTTTCAGACGCCCGAAATTGTTCCCGTCTTGACGCACATAACCGCCTCTAACGATCATTATTTTTCAGCGCCAAAGTGACGCCGCGCACACTCAAGGCCCTGCTTTCGCCCAGCGCGTCCTTGTCCTTGGTTCGAGAAAGAAAAACAAAGTATTTTTAACCCACAGAACCGCAGCCCGCAGTTGCTGTAATAGTTGACCCCTCGCATTGAAGTTACAGAGCCCTGGCACGAACACCACGGCATGGCTCTGGCCCTGTTTTATCTGCGGGTCACTCTTCTGTGATCTAATATCACACAGCACGGGGCCAGTCTGAAGCAGGCTGCCTTCTCTTAGCACCTAATAACGGAACATCCTCAATTAACACTTAATTAACGACGCGGGCTTCACGGGCAGAGCTGCAGCTGTCAGTAGCGGATACAGGGAGGCTCGGCAGTGTTTTAAGACGAATTTTGACAGCTGTACCTCCGGGGTTCCTCCCCGTGTACTCTTGGTACATACAGTACAGCAAATATCCAGCGCGCTTCTGCGTATCGTATCGCCCAATGGACATAGATGTCAAAACGTTTTCCTAGAGATGGTCTAGAGGTGGTATTTTATACAGCAGTGAATAAGCTTGCAGATTCGTACTGTGCAGTTAACACTGCCAGCAAAGTCGCGGTTGGCCAGCGGAGGCGCTGTGGTTGCTATTATCTCGTTTCCTCAACGCTTAAAGCGTGCGGGCTTTGCCAGCACCGGCGCTGTGCTAAACGAACCCCTCCGAATCCCGGCTCAGGCGAAGATGCGACGCAGTATAGGGACAACGAGCCGGTGGCCTCCGGCGCATTTTCCTGGATTTTCGTCGGCCAGCCGGTGCCCCAATCCCCGCCCCCCCACAGTCGTCTCGCCGGCCCCGCCCGGGAGGAGTGACTGTGTGTCGGGGGTGGAGGCGGTTCTGCATCCTGCAAGCGCTCATGTTTAGCGTCTCTAACCACTTCCACGGCTTTTTTCTTTGCTTCTTGCTTTTTTGGGGTGTGTGTGTGACTGTGTTGAAGAAGCGGGCGGCCGGCGAGAGGAAGATGATTCCGGAGGACCGGTCTACAGCAGCCGGGCTCCGCAACTGAGCCCCGAGGTCGGGACGCGACGCGGAGCGGAGCGCAGGCTGGTACCTTTGACCACAGTGAGTGTGGAGTCTTCCCTGCTTCCCAGCCCTTTGAATTCTTTCGTGCGCGCTAAAGTGAACCGCACTGAGCGGTCGGTGTCCTCTTTCTGGTTCTAACTGGGGAGGGGGCAGTCCATTTGCCAAAGAAGCCGTGGCAGACGCGAGAAGTCGGGGTGGAGTGGTGAGGGGGGTCGGTCTGTTGCCCCCTGACTCGGGTGCCTGTTGTTACTGTACCGTTACGCGGTTGTCAAACTCCGCTACAGCCGCCAGAAGCGCCGCCAGTTTGGGAACGTGCGAGACGAGGGCAGCCGGGGGGTGGTCGCCGGGGGACCCTTCCAGGCGAGTTGCAAACTAACACAGAAGGAAGCTGGTCGACCTGCGAGGCGGGCTGATTAATTAATCCCAAATGCCGGGGCCGTACGGAGCCCATCGGAGGGCGCAGAAAACGGCGGGCAGTGCGTGCTGGCTTGCGGGAGCCCTGTCAAGTCTCAGGCAAGAAATTCACATCACTTTCCCGCTGTGGTTGAGGGGGGCAGCGAGGCACAGGCGGTTTTCTGTTTTAACGCTGCTAGTATTTTTTTTTTCGCCACTAATGTTTAAACTATTTAACAAAAAGCTGGTCGGGGTAATTGTTTGTTGTTTGTTGTTTGACTAATAAAGCGAGTGTGCTGCTTAAATCCACGCCATGAGCCACGCCGTACTCGGAAGTCGGGTGCGTGTCCCCTCATCGAGGGCAGTGACCGCTGGCCGAAATGCTGGATGGATTTGATCGCTTAAGGAGACGGCGAGGGGAGCCACGTTCGTGTAGAGGCGCTTTGAAGACGGAGGCTTCTCCCCTCGACAGACCTCCGGCACCACACTCGCGTCCCCGGCTGCGTCCTCTTGCCTTGCGAGCTCCTGAGGTTTAGCCTGACAGCGCCTCTTTGTAATCACTTTCAGCAACGGGTGATGCACGTCTCCCACGGGCGCGCGCGCACTCACACACACACACACGGGTGGAAGCGAGCGAGCGACGACAGGAAGACTCAGGTACTGTCGTTTGGCAGCTGTCCCTCCTCGCAGGTCAGCGCTCGCCGTGTTTTTGTGGCTGCGGTTTTGGCGAGGACCCGTCCTGACAGCTGCAACATTTCTGCGGAAAATCTTAAACACTCTGTAAATCTGCGCGCCCTGCATTCCGCTGAGTGCAGGCGTCCCAGAAACCAGGGGTAGGTTTCTTGACATTTGACAGCTCTTGATAGGAACTGCCTGGATAAGGGCTGTGGGGAATCTACCTTAATCTCCTTTTTTTTAAAAGTTGTGCGTAAAACAAGAGTCACACCACAGTTAATGCCCTGCCGATGTGGTGCTCGAAACTTTTGCAACCCCTGAGATAAGACGACGCGACGGGAGGAAATGATGCAGTTTCATCGTCTGAAAGCGCTGTCTGAGGCCGAGAGGAGTAGGAAATTCGAGTGGGCTGGCGGCGATAGCGAACAGGTGAACATTCTCTGTCAAATGCCTTCTTCCTGGTGGGCTGCAATTTTTAATTGCACAGTTATTTTTGGCGTGCGAAGGAACAAATCGAGCAGGTTAAAACCCCCCAGAACTCCCCCGAGCCGCTCCTCGTGGGATGTCTCTTGCTCGTTAAGAGTCTCATGCACTTGTACGCACCTAGATTAAAGTCGTTAAATACCAGGGACCATGTAATATTCATACAGGAAATAGCAGTGCCTCCGATTGTCTCATAGTTAAGTGCAGCTACAGTAGCCCTCCACTCAAAGAGGAGACTTTGTTTTTAAATATTTATAATGAGACGTTTAACAGTGAGATTGGCCCAGTGGCACAGCGCTGGGGCCCTGGGTTCACTTCCGGACCCGGGGTGCTGCCTGTGTGGAGTTTGCACGTTCTCCCCGTGTTCGTGTGGGTTTCCTCTGGGTGTCCGGGATTCCTCCCACAGTCCGAAGGCATGCTGGTGGGATAAGGGGCTTCTGAGAAAACCGGCCGCGATGTGACCGTGTGTCCGTGTGTGTCAGCCCTGCCCTTGTGCCCTTGTCAGGATAGACTCCGGCTCCCCTGCGACTGGACTGGAATTCCTGAACCGGAAGAAGCGGCTCGGAAATGGATGGAATTTTAGCGCAAGTGGGACGTGTCACTGAGTCTTTTCCCGGATAAGCCAGGCTGGATTCTTGTGGCGTAGGAGGGGGACCGCCCACTCCCACATCTCCTGTGCAGGGCGTTCCTTTGTTTGTTGTTGTTTTCCCCCGGTTGGGCGTTGGGGTTGGGGGGGTTGTTTTCCTGTTTCTCGATGTCCTGCTGGCCGCTCAACTGCAGCCACAGGGCGATGAGGAAACGGGCTCTTTTTTTTTCCCTTCTGAAAGAGGCGTGACAGGGACTCTCTGGGACGGGCCCCGTGGATCTCTTGAAAGCACGGGCCCGTAATCGCTTGATGAGGTGTAGGGGAGTCCAGCTGGTGTGTTTCGGGTGACGGGCCAGCCCTGAGCGGCAGGGCCTGTGTCCGTGTGCAGAGAGGGATGACTCGAGAGCCTTCAGTGTCGGCAGCCGGGAGGCAGTCAGGAGGGTTAGCCACTGCGTTTCTTCCTGTATCCAGTTCCTGACTGCTGCGCTTTTCACAGTACACCTTCCGACTGAGAGTTGTAGTGACTCCTGCTGTGCGCTATTAATGAACCCTCTGTGGTCTGTTGGGACTTGAAATACCCGCCAGTAGAAAAAGTGCGCCGGCCTGGTGGGACTGCTGAGTTCGGTCCAGAGTTGGGGGACACCGGCCGGCGGCAGTCTCCTGAAGGGCCAGGTGAGGCGGAAGGTCCACCGAACATCAGAATCGCGGCCACATTCACTCTGCGAAGCGCTGCTTTGAGTGAATTCAAATAATGTCCGCGTCCGGCTGCCTGTGAATATTGCACAGCGGTGAAAACGTCTCTCTGGCACGTTTCTGACAAAGGAAGCATTCCTGCAGTATACGAGCAAGCCTCGTTTGTGTCACACCCAATCAAAAAATCAGAAGGGGTTGAAATGCTCAGGTGTAGCCCGGAGCAGTGCCGAGTGAAGATGTGAAACATGTGGAATGCACGAAAGGTTACTGACAGAGGGCTGTCCCTTCGTCCCTCTAGCCCCTTTGCTAGTTATTAGCTCAATATAAGGATTGCATCCATTCAGCTTCTTGAAAGAAGTCATTGTTTTGGCTCCAACAGCGGCTGGTTCCACACTCCTGCCACCCTTTGTGTAAGGAAGTGCCCGTGCGTCAAATCTCAGACTGGTACCTAAGCAGCCACGTTGATTACCTGGCCCTTTTCCGTTGCTTTTTCAGTGTGAGTGGAGCATGTCCGCCTTCCTCTTAGGTGATGGTCTGCATCTCGGCGTGCTAGAGAGGTGGTTTTTAGGATGTGCTGGCTCATGAGCTTGACAAAGGCTGCTAACCTGTGACTACGGTGCCTTAAACACGCCTGCCCTGCCCTGACCTGTGCTTGTGCCCCACCTGATTGCCCTGAAATGTGATTGTGCCAAATCAGAGCAGTCTGATTGCAGCCAGCCTGCCAGCAGCCAGTGGCGATTAAGCCGGGCGCTTAGTGCTGTTGATTGAGACATGGGCATCTGTGGGGCTACAGATGTGTTTCGCCACTAAAGTCATTCATTTATAGCAGACGTCTCCAACTCCATTCCTGGTGGGTCTCCTGGCCTTTGTTCCAGCCTGAGTTAGTCAATTAAACAATCTCATTATTTTCTAATTTAGACTTACAGGATTTTTCTTAAGGTCTTTTGCAGTTGATTACACAAGGCGTCCACTTTAGTAAAGGTACAGTCGGGTACCTGTATATATCGCCTCAGAGCCTGGATTGCAGCATTAGAGTGATGCTGTTTAATAAATAGACCAAGTATGTAACTGAGACTAAAGACCAGAAGACACCAGGTCCCTCAGGAACTGAGCCTAAGACCCCTGACTTATCAGCGTTGTGATCTTCCTGCCTTGATTAGTCGGCAAGCGTCGTGCTTGGGGGATTGCCATGCGCTTCAGAGCGAAGTTGGGGTGACGGGGGGCGCCGCCTGTGATGTAGGGGTACAGGCAGTGTTTGTGTCTGTCCTGCGGCGCTTGCGGGCCGGGGGTTGTGCCGCACAGCGAGCGAATGTGCGCGTAGAGGAAGTGAACTCGCCGAAACGGCCCTGTGTGTGAAAATGCCAGGAAGGCGTGGGACTCCATGGGCCATTGTCAGCATTCTTCCTTGTATTGTTGTGCGGGACTCGGGCCCGGCAGCCCAGAAGTGAAACTCAGCTGCTGCTCCGTAGTATCGGTCCCGGCACAGTCCTGGGGAGACCAGCAGCAGGAGGGCTCCGGCGAGCCTGATTGCAGTACTGTACATTTGCTCTTCACTGAATGAGCTCCCGGGTGAAACGAACGCTGAGCTGTATGAGACTGTGCGGCTGTTGTACTGTAAAAGCACAGCTGCAGCAGACTGGGAGCTTACAAGGGGCACTTAGCAGGCTAATTGCTTGCACAAATGGGAGCGGTGTGCGTTGAGGCAGTGTAGGACGGGGCTTTACTGGGGTGCTATCCAGTCCTGGTCCTGGGGGCACCCCGTTTGGCTGACCCAGCAGGCCCTTCCAGAGGTGTCTTGAGGCTAGGAGGAATTTGCATATGCCATTTCCCCTGCATCCTCTTATCTGCCCGAAAGTCAAGCTATTGCACGTGTGCTCACACTTAGTGTTCCAGTAAAACACTGCACAGCAACATGTGCTGCCTTCCCCCAGCTCATTCTGGCTCTTGAAGTCGCAGGACAAGCTCGGATCGGGAAAACGGTTTCAGGGTGTGGGCCTGGCATGCAGCTCTCCTTGAGACTCGCCTGTCGGGGGGGGGGGGGTCAGGAGTCTGTCCGCACCCTGGGCTCCCGTCCTCCGGCCCAGCACTGCGGAGGGAGCAGGAGCTGGGAGGTGTCGGCTCTGGGCAGCGCTGAGCAGTGGCTTTGTGTGGCTGTCCTGGTTTTCTCAACAATGGCCCACAATCGGCCTGGGCTGAGAGCATTAGATCC